GTTCCAGGGGATCTGACAGCCTCTTCTGTCCTCCTCAGGCATTGCACGACACAGGTGCACTTACCTACATGCAGGCAATACACATAAAATAAATATAAAGATCTCACTGGGTGGTTTATTGCACCTTTAATCCCAATCCTTGGGAAACAGAGGCAGGCAGAACTCTGTGAGATGGAGGCCAACCTGTAGCTGGGTTCCAGAGACACCCGGTCTCAAATTCAAAAATGCAGCTGGCCAGAGGTGGCAGTTCACCCCTCTAATCCCAACATCCAGGAAGCCTGAAGATTGCCATAAATTGGAGGCAACCCTGGCCATGTATTGATATCCTGTCTCCAAAAACAATAAGTGACAAGTATTTAGACATTTTGGGAGGTTTTGGATGTGGCCTTGCTCACCGGCAGCGGGCTTCCTTTGGAGTGTTGCCTTGGTTGAGGTGTTTTATCACAGTGACAGAAGTAACTACACTGGACTGCAGCTGAGGTGACAGAATGCTTTCCTAACGTGTGCAAGGCCCACCCCACACCTGCACCCACTGTAGCAGCAATATATTACATAGACACCCAGATTGGCACAGGGACAATCAACACTGGTGGTGCCAATCACTCTGGGGTATGAGTCAAATAATTAAAGTGAGCACTGGGGAGAGTAAGGTGGCTACCATGATGGCGTAGAGAAGACTTTATGTGGTTCCTATGGAGATTACAGGGTACCTCACCAGAGCCTTGCTGGATTCGAACCAGTGCCTGAGGGAGCATGTAGACTTTCTCCTCAGACTGCCTGGGTTGGTGCAAAAGGGAGCAGTAGAGAACTTGAATGCTCTGAACACTTTCAATGCTTCTCCGGAGATCCAGGTCACATCGACAATATCTCTCAGTTCACTCAGCAGGTTGTTCAGTGTGGACAAGTACCAGGACGTTGGCTTTTGTTCTCCATGAGTCGGTCTTTGCTCTCCTTTCGTTCTCCAGGTGGCAGGAACTGCTCCAGGTCCAGTTCATTTCTCAAGAACTGCTGAAATTCTTCCGACTTGAATGGCAAGTCGCTCTTCCAATTTTCCACCTGTAACCAGAAATTACTAGACATTGACACTTGCCTTTCCCACCTTATCTGAGCATCTTGTATTTGTGCCTGGAGGCTCCGAATATAGCTTTTCAGCTTCCACATGGCTCTAGTTAGAGCTTCTTCTATGAGCTGCGGATACTGATGGCAGAAGTGCGGGGATGCCACACAAGGGGTACACAGCAGCTCTAGCTCCTTCTCAGAGCAAAAGTCTGGGGCCGTCTTGTGGTCCTCCCAGAGATGTCCCCTCTTGATCTTCAAGGCAGGCAGCTGAACTAGAGCACCAATCGTGACACTTTTGAGTGTTCTCAGTGAATCAGTAGGTAGAAGCCTTTTGGCAAAAGGGACAGGAAAAGAAAGCCTTTGGAGGGTTCCAGCAGTGGAGGAAGCAAGCGTGACAGAAGTAATGGCTGCAATAAGTGGTCACCGGGTCCTGCAAGCGACTCAGGCAGATGGAGCAGTTGGCTGCTGCTTCTTCCAAGTCCTCCGGAAAGGCTGCCAAGGCCACTGTGCAGCAGGATCTGTCTGAGGAGATTCCTAGTGGGCCTGGCTCTCCAGGAACCTGGAAGTAAAAAGCCAGTTGAGTGTGTTCTCCCACAGATGCTTTGGGTCCCCAAGAGTCTGTTACTGTGCCTGAGAAGTTCAGTGCCCTTACAGTATTCCATGCAGCAAGCAGGCACACTGACCCCCTGCACAGGATTACCTTCAAGCCAATTCAAGACTGCCTTCTCAGTCTTCAGAACAGGTTGAAGTAATAGCAATGAACAAAGGATATTCTGAACTGTGAAACTCAGGCCAAGATAAATCAAGGAACTGGCTTCCGTAACAGAAACAACAAAAATAAATGTGAAACAGCAATGAAGAGAATATATAATCATAAATATGTGTGAATACTTCTCAACAGTTCGGTGTTGGCCAGTATGCATTAGACCCCAGGTTTAGTTCCTACCACCACAAAAGTTAAAAAAATAACAAAAACACAAACATGAAGCATTACCCATCAGCCTCATAATCCACCTCATTAGGCTGAGGTTAAAGCTCAGTTGGTAGACTGAGCTGTCTGGCAGGAAGCACTCATGCTCAACTCTGAATAGGCTTGGTATTGTTCTGTATGCCTATAATCCCAGCACTTGGGAGCCTGAGGCAAAGGGATCATTGTGAGTTCCATGGCAGCCTAGGAGACATAGTATCTTCCAGGCTAGCCTATGCTAACAGAATTAATTCCTTTTAAAAGGAAAATAAAGAGAAAAAATTAACAAACATTTTAGAATTGGCTGTGGTAACCTGCGCCTTTAATTCCCAGCTCTTGCGAGGCTCAAAGCAGAGGGATCTTTGTGAGATCAAGACCTGCCTGGTCTATATAGCTAGTTCCAGGCCTCCTAGGGCTACATAGTGAGATGCTGACTCAAAACAAAAAATGGAATCAGTGGGGGGAAAGGCTTTTTTTCCTCATCATGATATGTGTGGTCATTATGGTCTCCTTGTAGCCCCAGCTGTCCTGGAACTCACTATGTAGACCAGGCTGGTCTCGAACTCACAAAAATCTGCCTGCCTCTTGCCTCCCAAGTGCTGGGATTAAAGGCCTGTGCCACCACGCCCAGTGGCATTCTGGTTTTGAGTCTGAAAATCCAAAAGGATTGTGAAAGCCTGAAAGACCATAGAGAACTGATAGGCCTATAATTCACAGAGAATGAAGGACAGTCAGCACCAGAAAGCAGATATCTGGGGAAGAAACTTGCTAAGCAACTACTTTTTACCTTTGAACGATATACAGGACCTTACATTTTTGTTGTTT